GTTCATATGTGTTGTTTATTCCTGAAAGTATATGGAATAAATGGACTCCTGATATGCTGGTTTCAGAATAACTTTAGTAAGAACCTGAAATTTCTCGTTTTCCATCAAACCACAGCCCCTAGTCAAATACCAGAAGGATATGCACTAAGAATTATGACCTTAAGTTTTTTTGTGTGGTTTTTTGTTGTTTTTTTTTTTTTTTACAGGAGCACAGTCCTTTAGTAAAACCATTATTCTTAGCCAAATTTTGGTCTATCCGGTCTTTATAAGTGCATTTTACTCCCCTTTTAGATATTCTTTCAGAAATGAAATGAGTGGAGTACATGAATGATGTTTTGTGATGTACTCTTATGTCTTCATTTTCTCATAATGTTACCATTCTAAAAAAGTATAATTAAGATTTTGATAAGAACCATTAGTTTTGTTAGATTATGGTGTTGAGTCTGGCTATGAAATTCCCACATTCATAAAGGACTTTGTTTTTTGCTGGCTAAGACAAAATTTTTAAATGCAATTGCCTGTGGGACTCCCAGATAAGTTCCTTCTTCATCTCTGAGGTTGATAAATTGCTAGGGACACACAGAAGGACACACTGTGCTCATCTTTTGTACTGGCACCATTTGAGGAACTAAAGGTCGGGGTGCCTCTTTAGGACTTCGATTTGAGATTACAATGCTGCCCCTTGCGTTGCTCACCTTGTTTTAGAATGTCATAAAGCACTTTTCTTACAGTGTAAAAATCTCTTTATATAAATAAACTGAGGCCCACTGTTTTTACACAGACAGAGCTGACTTTTTTCCTACCCAGGCCTAATTCTTCCTGGATGCCTAAAATATATACTTTATGTGCATACACTATCTTGACTCTAATCCCAAGCCAGCTAAACAAATATGTCATATCCAGAGTGATTATTTCTTATTACCTGGTGTGTACATTTAAGAATATAAGACCTCGGGCGCCTGGGTGGCTCAGTTGTTAAGCGTCTGCCTTCGGCTCAGGTCATGATCCCAGGGTCCTGGGATCGAGTCCCGCATCAATCTCCCTGCTCTGCGGGAAGCCTGCTTCTCCCTCTCCCACTCCCCCTGCTTATGTTCCTGCTCTAGCTATGTCTCTCTCTGTCAAATAAATAAATAAAATCTTTAAAAAAAAAAAAGAATATAAGATCTCTCTCTTTTTTTAAGATTTATTTATTCATTTGAGAGAGAGTGAGTGTGCATGCACACAGGGGACAGAGGGAGAGGGAGAGAGGAATCCAAGCAGACTCAGCACTGAGTGTGGAGCCCAACTCAGGGCTCAGTCCTATGACCCTGAGATCATGACCTGAGTCAAAACCAAGTCAGACGCTTAACCGACTGCACCATCCATGCACCCAAGAAATATAAGATCTCTTAATTGATTTTTATCCTGTTCTTTGATGTAATCAAACTTTTCAGTCTCTACTCTACTTTTCCAAATTTCTCTTTCCTTCTTTTATTTGCTAATAAAATTCTGGCTTCTTTTCCCGTTATCATGGAAAAAGAGGTTCAGAGAGAGTGAGCATATCCCCATGAGATGAGTCGTAGTTGGTCTAAATTTTTCATCATAATTCTGTTCTCCTTTGCCAGGGTTTGGGTTAGAGATGGGCATGTGACTCACCACACTAAGGCACATCATAATCAAATTGCTGAAAACCAGTAGTAAGAAAAAATTCTTAAAAGAGCCAGAGAAAAAAGTTATTTTATATAGAGGAAAAAAGGAAAGGATGCAATTTCTCTTTGGAAGCAATGCAAGAGAGAAAACAGTGAAGCAACATCTTTTCAGTTTGAAAGACCAAAAAGAACTAAGGAAGGCAGGGAGGAAGGAAGGAAGGAAGGAAGGTCTGTCAGCCTAAAATTCTATACCCAGCAAAAATAACTTTAAAAGATAAAGTTTTTCAGAGATACAAAATGACCCACAGACCCATACTACAAGATATAGTAAAGAAATTCCTTAAGGAAGGAAGAAAACAAGACTACATGGAAATGAAAAGCACTGGAAATGGCTATTTCATGAAAATTTTATTTTATTTAATTTATTTTAAAGATAATTTAAACCTGGCAACTGACTGGTAGGTGCTATATAAAGAACTCTCAAAACTCAACAGTAAAAAAAAAAAAAATTCAATTATAAAATGTGCAAGAGCTATAAATAGACATTCTGTTGAAGAAGATCTAGAGATGGCAAGCAGGCACATGAAAAGATATTAACATCATTAAGGGAAAGGCAAATTAAAACCACAATGAGCACATCTATCAGAATGGCTAAAATTAAAAAAATAGTGATAACATCAAATGCTGGCAAGAATACAGAAAAACTAGATTATCCATACACTGCTGGTGGGAATGTAAAATGGTATAGTAGCCATTTTTAAAAAGCTGAACTTGCACTTACCATATGACCTAGCTATCACACACCTGGGCATTTATCCCAGAGTAATGAAAATGTACATCCATACCAAAACCTGTATACACATGTTCATAGCAGCTTTGTTAACCCCAAATTGGAAACAACCCAAATATCTATAACATCTGAATGGATAAGTAAATTGTGCAATATTCATACAAGGGAATAACTATTGTTATGCACAACATTGTTGTGAACTACTGATATGTGTAGCAACATGAATGAATCTCAAAGTAATTATGCTGAGGGAAATAAGCCAGACAAAGAGCACATCTTGTAGGATTCAATGTATGTAAAATCCAGAAAATGCAAACTAATCAACAGAGACAGAAAGCAGATTATTAGTAGGTGCCTGGGACTGGAGGGAAAGAGATGAGAGGGGGGGATTGTCAAGTGATATGAGAAAGCTTGTAGTAGTGATGAATAAGTTCATTACCTTGGTGGTGGTGATGGTTTTATGGATTTATACATTTGTCAAAACATCAAAAATTCACTTCAGTTTATTGCATGTCAGTCATTCTTTTAAAAAAAGTGTAACAATAGAGGGAGAGTCTATTCCATTCCCCCTTTGAGACTACCTTAACTAAGAGAATATGGTAGACTTGAAGTTGTGTGGTCTCTAAAATTAGGTAAGGAAAGTCCATGCAGCTTCTCCCAGTTTATTTCAGGATGCTCAACCTAGGATACTTACTGAGCCATCATGTGGGAAATAGGGCTACCCTGAGTCGCCTCTGCTAGAGAGACCTTATGGTGAGACCACATGGAGAGGAAGGACCTGAGACTAGGAACAGATAAAGAGCTCCTCAGCCAGCATCCCTTTATCAAGCTATCTGAGCTGTGGCCATCATGTGCTTGCAGCTGCAAGAGAGAGAGATCCCAAATCAGAACCATCCAGCTGAATGCTGAGAGATAATAAAGGAGTGCTGTTACTTTTTCTTGTTGTTTTTAAGTAAGCTCTGAACCCAACATGGGGCTGAACTCATGACCCTGAGATCAAGAGTCACATGCTCTACCAACTGAGCCAGCCAGGCCCCCCAGGAGCGTTGTTGCTTTACAACATTAAGTTTTGGGACAATTTGTTACACAGCAATAAATGACTAGAATGCCACCTATTCTGTATTTTCCATGTTAGCAGTACAACTTCCATTCTTTTCAGGAAAAACTGTTTTGTGTTAACAAATGAATAAATGTAATTTGTGTTTTATACATTTTTACAACTTTCCATTTATAGAAATTTGCATATCAGAAAGAATTATTTGTCATCATATATATCCTAGCTTTTGGTTTAGAAAAAATAGAGAAATCTTATCTATGAATTAAGAGAACCACTGGTTTCAGTTAAAACCGCTCATATTTAGCTAACATCAATCAATCAGTCAGTCAACAAACTACTGAATGTTGGATTTTGATGAGAATACAAAAGGTATCTAGCTTGCCATGACCGCCAAGAATATATCACCTGGGTAGTAAAATAAAGCCTTTTTGTGGTAGGATGTGGTAGAATGTCTTCATGGAAGAGGAAGAATTTGAGCTATAAATGCTAAGTTATAAATATCAAAGTTTGAATGATTTTTTAGTTACTTCATTTTGTCTCAAAGAAAACTTTATTTTGCATGATTATCCTATTAATATTAAGCATCAGGAAATACACCCTGAGAATCATTATTTGCTAGTCAAACCATTTCTCTTCCACAATTTATCTACTTCCTTCTACTCAGTGTATATTTTTCAAACACTTTAATTTGAAATAATCTTAGCAATGGGACAATTGGAATACAGCTAATGGATAAACAGGGGTGCTTCTTAATGCAATCATGTTGAGAGGTGATAGATTTGATATAAATAGTAGCTAATAGCATTAACCTGTGTTAGATCTAGAGAACAATTTCCAATGTTTTTGCATTCAAAATCTATTCAGTGGAAATATATAGTGGAAATTACTTTGGTTTGGGTCTAGTAAGCCGAGTGGTCCAGGTCGGTACTGGAGCCTGCCTGTACTAACTTGCATGAGCCAATTGTTATCACCTCTTTCCGATTCCAGCCAGAGTGGGTGTACTAATACCACAGAAATGGCAAAAGCTACAAGTCAGACCTCCCTCTACCCTGCCTCGTCCCATCCCAGAACAGATTGCTAAAAATTTATCAGCACAACCCTGCTTAAACTTTCAAGTCTTTGGATACAAATCAATTTTAGTAGGTTTCTCTCAGTTGGAACTGGTTTGAAAGGTGATGAACTATATTTGTAGGTGAGGCCAATGCCAAATGAGAGATGATAAGAATGAGTTCCTGGGAAGGAAGAGAAGCAGGTAATCAGTTTTTAAGAAAGTATTTATCACAGTGATATATATTTTTTCTTTTCCAGCTTCTGTCCATCCCTGTGGGACAAAAATGTGACTTCCTGACTTCTCCAAGAGTGGAAAGAGGGAAATAATGGCCAACGAGGTAGTGGGAGTTCTCAGCACTACTAGTTCCAGGAGCATAACAGAGGCAAGCCTAAAGCTTCTGTATGGGAAGAATTGTATGGATGAAAGAGAAGTCTGACCATCAAGACCCCAAAGGCCTGTCTTAGGAAGTTGTAACACCAGGAAACGTACCAGATAGTTTGGTGTGAAGATAGAATCGTAAGTGTTAAATACTGAAGCTGAGTTGAAGGATACAGGATAACATTCACTGTAACTAGGTGCTAGTCCATTTTTTTATATTTCATTTTGTTTAATATCCCTTTAAAGTATGATGTACGCATTAATAAACATTAAGGTTTTCATATCACTATTTTAGGGGGAAAAGGCAATTTTTGATAGAGAAAACTGGAAAAATACTTACTCTAAATCCTCAAATAACCCCTGTGGTAGACCATAATAGGAGAAGCAGTATCCCCCAGCTTGTGAGGTGTTCTCATACTGCCTATTAAGAAATCAGTGGCCTCAGAAGTAAATCCAGCCCTACACAGGGTGACATATGAAGGAGAGACAGAATTTAAGTTGGCATGCTTGTAAAATTTGATTTGCAATTTGAGAAACAAAACAAAACAAAACAAAACACTTTGTGGGAGAATTAAACTGAAAGACAATGAAGGATTTGGGAGAATTGTTGCTGTGTGAGACATTTTCTAGGAAGGTGATGGCGATCTGGAATTTTAGAAGCAGGTTTGAACCATGATCAGAGATAAGCATATGTCATAATCACCATACTTGCATGTATGTGGGTAATAAAATGTAAAATACAATGATTTAAAATGTTTAAATGTAAAATACAATGATTCCCATTGTATTGCTCGCCAATCTCCTTTTAATTGATTCCCCATTTATCTGTTTCAGGTTCCTACTTGGATAAACATATCTGTTGCATTATTAAAATCCATTCGTCTCTGCATTCTAAATAGGAACCATATCAGAAGATTACAAACCTTGACCCTGAAAGTATAAACAGTGTGGTAACATGTGTACAAGAGTGAGTATATGGTTTGCAAACCTTCACAAATAGTTTTCCAGTTGACAGGCCTAGTAGACAGCATTAATCCTCCATATCTCCTGCCTATTTTCACATGTTGCTTCTCTGGGCTATTGCCTCCTGATACGTGTTACTTCCCTACACCTCTGCACTATTTCCTCTTCTCATTGGCATTTATAACTCTCAGGTTTGTATCGTTTATGGATTTCATTCATGTACCATTTACCTTTTTTTCCAAATAATTAAGCCCAAAATTACATTAGAGCTTGCTCAGGCTGCTTGCCACTTGGATAAATTATACATCATGGCTTCCCCAGTCAATCACCATCTAGCATTTTCAACATTCTGCAAGTCACTTAGCTTTATTAGTTGTATTCTCTGGCAGCCCTCAGGAGAATGAGGCTTACCCAGGGAATCATGATAAGAAAAATATGCAGCAGTTGATTTTTGTTTTCTTTTAACATTTCAACTTGAATGTTTCTCCAGTGTCTTTTTTGTGAAAAAGAATATTACTATCCTCTTATCCTATACTGGTCAACACTATTATTTTGGAAATCAGTAAGATGGAAAATACTTTGGGCTTAATATATATAAAGAAATATGGAAATCATTTTCTTATATTACATAACATTACATATATGAACAGTTTAAATTTTAAAATTCAGGCAGTTAGAGAGTAGTTCTATTGATTATGTGTAAGTTGTTTTTTTCCTTTATTTGGGACTTGTTTAACTTGTAGCAAATATGGAGTATTTGTTCACTACTATATCCCCATTACCTAGAGCATTGTCTGACATAGTAGACATTCTGTAGATATTTGTTGAATGAATATTAATAAAATTGACGTAAAATTTTATATATCCTCTTTTGATGATAAATATTGGAATATAAATTTTATGAACATAGAAGCCCTGTCCATATTTTCTGTTGATGTCTACTACTTAGCAAAGTGCCTTGACAATATAGTGTGTGCTCAGTAAATGAGTCTCAATATTTCCAGTAGATACCACACAAATAATGTGTCTATCTTAGTGTGAGCTCCCTTTACATAGTCAGTTATTTGAATCACTGTATTGTTTCTCCAAATATTCTAGTATATTTAATATTTAAGGAAAGGCGAGTCACACATGTCCTATAGCTTCAATAATTGGCACACCTTCAACCGTAGAGTACCTGTATTTGAAACCATAATTTCATAAATGTAAAAATTCTTAATTATTCTTTTTTAGTCATTGTGTTCTTATTGTAAAGCAATACATAGTGAAGAAAATGTTATTTTCTTATTACAGAAAATTTGCATATCAGTGATAAATAAAAAGAAAATCACTCAGAATTTTTCCACCCAAAAATAGCCATTAAAATTTTGGTATCTAACCTTCCAATTGTATGTGTGATGTACATATTTATAGATATTATTACTATATTACATGTAATTTTGGCACTTGCTTATTCCACATTAATTTAACATGAACATTTTCTGATGTTTTAAATGTGGAATTATTTTAATGACCAGAATCATCTTTTTTGAGTCATTGCTTATTCTTCATGTCTCCCATTTTTCAACCCCCGCTAAGTGAGGCTTCCTTGATTACCACCCCAAGTGGCCACAACTCCTCACCCCAGCTTTTTTCTATCATGTGAAGCCTGAAATGTGTCTTTATTCATTATTGTACTCCCAGTGCCTAACCGGTGCCTGACACTCAGTTAAATATTTTTGAAAATAAATAAATAAATGAGTGAAGAAAAGGATAAAGAAAATTCCGTTGGTAAGTCTACCATAGTGACTTAATGCCCCTATTTTTATACATTAGGTTATTTATATTTCTTTTATATAAATATCACTTTGATGTATTTCTCTGGATAAATTTTTTTGCACATCCATGATTTTTTTCTTAGTTTATATTCCTAGAAGTAAAATTGCTGGGCTAAGGATAAGTAAATGTTAAGATTTTAAGTAAGTATTACCAGAAACTTTGTGACAACTTACCTGCTCATCAAGGGTATTTCAAATTGCCACTTTACTCAAGTCAGAAATAGATTTTTGTCATTTTAAAACAATATTATTAGTTGAGAAATTTTATGCCATTTTAAATAAAATTTCTTTGATTGTTAGATGTATCTAATATTATATAAGCATACAATTATTTTCATATGCTTACTGGTCATTGTCATTTCTTCTTTTCTTTTGGTTGTTAATGTGCTTACCAATTTAATATTTTGAATTTATGAGTTCAATATATACTGAGAATTTATTTAATTTCTTGATATTCATTTTGTAAATATATTCCACAGATCATGGTTTTTCTATGACTTTTATTTATTGTATTAAAATTTCCATATGATATAAACTTTTAAACATACACAAAAAAGTAGAGATAACACATATATATACATTCATGTGTGTATCACCCAGCTTCAACTGGGTACCCAGCAGGTACACCTGGATATAAGGATCAAAAAGATCTCATTAAGATCCTATTTCTTTTTCCTTTGCTTTTATCCTCTTTTAGCTGTATTCATAGGCAGTTATCAACTCGCCTACTCTTGTTTTACCTTCCTATGCTCAATTCCTCTATTTTACCTCTTCCCACCTCCTGATTATGTTGAAGAACACCCCATACATTGTATCATTTAATCTGCAAATATTTCAAAGTGTATCTCTAAAAGACAGAGACTGTCCCTCCTTTTTTTATACTTTTTACTGACATATAGTTGACATATTTTTATTTTTAAAAAGTTTTTTAAAAAATTTATTTATTTTTGAGAGAGTGTGTGAGGGTGTGAAGGGGGTGGTAAGAGGAAGAGGGTCTTAAGCCGACTCTGGGCTGAGCGAGGAGCCCAATGGAGGGCTCGATCTCACAACCCTGAAACCAGAGCCCTGAGACCATGACATTAGCTGAAACCAAGAGTCAGAGGCTTGGGGCGCCTGGGTGGCTCAGTCGTTAGGCATCTACCTTCGGCTCAGGTCATGATCCCGGGGTCCTGGAATCGAGCCCCACTTCTGGCTCCCTGCTCAGGTGGGAAGCATGCTTCTCCCTCTCCCACTACCCCCCTGCTTGTGTTCCTGCTCTCACTATCTCTCTCTGTCAAATAAATAAATAAAATCTTAAAAAATAATAATAATAAAAATAAAATAATAAACTGGGGACTCGTTTAAAAAAAAAAGAGTCAGAGGCTTAACCGACTGCCCCACCCAAGTGCCCCTATATAGTTGACATATTTTTAAAAGACTTTCCCTTTTCCACATAGTCTCAAAACTAAAATAATAGTTTATGATATAAAACAGAAAAATTTCAATTTTTTTTATTTTTTTAAAGATTTTATTTATTTATTTGACAGACAGAGACACAGCGAGAGAGGGAACACAAGCAGGGGGAGTGGGAGAGGGAGAAGCAGGCTCCCCGCTGGGCAGGGAGCCCAATGCGGGGCTTGATCCCAGGACCCTGGGATCATGACCTGAGCCGAAGGCAGACGCTTAACGACTGAGCCACCCAGGCGCCCCCAAAATTTCAATTTTTATATAACTTTGTTCTTTTTCTTTAAGGTTTCTGCTTTTGTTATTCTTAGAAAAACTTCCCTTACTTTATGATTTACAAAAATTTTTGTAGTTTCCTCTAGGATTTTAATACAAGTCTTTTGCAGATGAATTAATTAAAAAAGAATTGAATCTCATAACTCATGCATATCACTCAATATTATAGTGTAGAATATATTCTGGAAATATTTTAAAATTTATTTTTATAAAATTAAACCATATTATTTTATAAATTGATAATTTATTGTAATTGTCATTCCATGTCAATACATACTGACATTATTTTCTAAAGGTGCATAATATTTAATTGTAAAACCATATCATAATTTCTTTTCCCAATGCCTTAATGCTGGATATTTAGATGGAGTAAAATTTTTTCACAATGTAAATCATTAGTTAAATTAATTAAACAAATATTGAATCCCTCTGGTATGCCAGACACTGTATATGGCACTGAAGATACAAAGGTGAGAAAACATACACACACACACGCACACACACACAGTGCAGATTCCTTTGTGGCATAAGGTTTATTAAAGTTGTCACATCGCTGCTCGGCCTTTTGGCTAAGATCAAGTGTAGTATCTGTTCTTATCAGTTTAATATTAAAGTAGTCACAAACACTTTTGTTCAAATATTTTGTACCATTTTTAATTGTTTTCTTTGGATAAATTCCTAAAAATGAAAAATCCTTTTAAAAAAGTAATTTTTATAAATACTGTTAAATTTTCCTACAGAATTATTTTGACATTTTACATTTTCACCTGCACATATTAGTGTTAGTGTCAGGTATCATTGCTCTCTTCAATCTTTGGTAATCTCATGGGTGAAAAATGATTTGTCACTGTAGTTTTACTAATACTAAATATGAAAGTATTTCATTTATTACTAATGACATTAACTTCTTGTTCATATGCTTACTGAACCTTCGTATGTCTTTTTTTGTGAATTACCTGTTCATGTTCTTTGCACATTTTTTCTTACTGAGGTGTCTGCCTTCTTATTTTTTATAATTTTGTTTTTTTCAGTTTAAATATTTATTGCTTCACAATAATGGTTACTTATAGAGGTCATATATGTAAAACCACTAAAATCTTTTGGCTAACTAAAATGAAGTCTATCTGCAATAATCATACCAATGCAATTTAGAGACTTTCTAAATTGTTGAACAGTGTCTACATAAATATCTTTATACTGGAAGATTCAATTGAAGGCACCAATCTATGCATAGATGAAATGCTTCTTTAGAGGTAAATGTAAAACAATTATAGTTTTGTGTTGAAAGAAGAAATGGTGGTTGTAGAATTGTTAATGGGTTATAGAGTGTTCTGGTTTAAAAATGGTAGTATTGGCAGTATTGATAAAAAGTCATTGCTATCTGCCAGCTGTCATATTATACAAAATGATGTTGAGAACTCAGAATAATTCTTCATGTGTGTATAACAAAAGTCGCCAATGCAATTAGCACCCTTGTGAGCAATCTCAAGAGAAAAGCTCAAGAATTGAATTATTGTGGGTATAAAATACATTTTCACCTGTGACACAAATTGGTATAGAAACATAGGCTTCCTTAGACTCTCTCTAGTTGGTGAGTAAGGAACTGATTTCAATTTCTGGGACCATTAATCTTTTACCTTTTATGGGTAGTAAATTATCTTTAAATTAAAACAAACAAACAGTATACCTGTCAGACTGTATCTCAGAATAAACACAGGCTGCCAACAACTTGTAATTAGGACCTCTAACCTGATCTACTTAAATGGCTTTGACAAGTAGAGGAACAAAAACCAATTTTCATTTTCAAAGAGGAAAATAACTTTTAATCAAAAATTTGAAAAAAATGACATACTTTCAAATTTTTTCTACAAATGGTATATCACACTGAATTTAACCACATTTTTATACATAAGCTGAGTAGTTATCTCCTGTGTTTATGTCACATTTTTGTTGCATTTGTTTTTATTTTTTGTTTTAATATCTCATACCCAAGTTAAGAGTAGTAGTTTGGAGGTGGACGTGCTAACATTTTCAGCACATGTAGGGTCAGTAACACCACATTTTAAACCCTATTAATTGTCATCTTGAATGAGTGATGTCTTGAGAATGTTCTGCCTATCCCCTACCCAGCATGATCTGGTGGCAAGGGCCTTTAACCTATGGGAAGCCACCAACCACACAATTGCTAGAGTGAAGGAGTGGCAGAAATCATTTCAGCTATTGTGGAAAACCTAGTAGATTTATTATTGTTGTTGTTCTGATCCTTTGCATTGGATAGAGGGAGGCCATTTAAATTTTTCCTGTGCTGTCATTAAAAAATATTAAGGCAATAAACAAAGACTGTGGAAGGGAGTCAGGGTATTTTAGGTAACATGTGATGGGATGGAAAACCTGCCTTGAGCCTGAGTCACATGACACAAAATTCCAGAAGTACTCTGGCTGCAAGCACAACTGGATATAAGGATCAGAAAGATCTCATTAAGATCCTATTTCTCTTTCCTTGGTTTTTTCCTCTTTTGGCTGTATTATAGGCAGTCTGTACCCTATTTTCTTTGAAAACTCTTAGCCTTTGCTCTGACAGAACTGGCTTAATTCTGATGTCCATTACTGAATCAACATTGTGGTTAGGGAAATCCTTTTTTTTTTTTTTTAAGATCTTATTTATTTATTTTGGGGGAGAGAGAGCACACATGGGAGGGACAGTGGGGGAGGGGAAGAGAGAGAGAAAATCTCGAGCAGACTCTGCGCTGAGCCCACAGCCTGACCCAGGGCTCCATCTTACCACCCTGAGATCATGACCTGAGCCAAAACCAACATTTGGACACTTAACCAGCTGTGCTACCAGATGCCCCATGGTTAGGGAAATCCTTGACTGCACCTGGGCTACGGGCTTCAGTCATAGAATCAAGAGTGGCAAAGCCCCTTCTAGACCACATGGAACCAGAGGAGAGGAGGGGAGAATATCCCAATAAGTGGATGTAGAAGGAAAGGGGAATCGATGTTGTGGAGACAAACCACAACAGTCTCGAGTGTAGATTTTTCTGTTCTTGGGTTCTCATTCTTTTGTATTATGGGTGTTCCCCAGACAAATAACCATAGCCATCAGAATAAATTTAGACAAACTTTCTTGTCACACACCTGCAGAGAAGAAGTCAGAGATACAATGGCAACACTGAGAGATGATTCTAAGAGATGTGAACATCTAGAAAGGATTTCATGTATATTGATGATGTTGTCTAACTCACCTTAATACCCACCAACAAAATTTTTAACATTTTTCATGCCCAGTAACTTTGGTAAGATATTTCACTTTTCTGAGAGAGTACCGAAACTGTCTTGATTAGACATGAATATTGTTATTTTGCACAACCACCTTCAATCAGTTAGCTAGGAAAACTGCATATTTTGTTCGTGTATTTAGGGAGGACAAAATGTATAAATGAGAGTGGGTTTTTCATTTCCTAGAGAATACCCAATTGTAGGTGTAGGATTACTTTTTAAACCATTATATAATTTATAAAAGAAATACCAAAAAGATTGACTATATCCTCTTTAAACTTTAATAAGACACCCTCAAGATATATCAGTTTTTTACAAAATAGGGAATGGCATTCTAAAAAATAGATGACCTCTGGCCAAGAAATACTGCAGTCACACGCGTTATCTGCAAGGTAGTCTGGAATGGCCAAATATCTTAGTACTTATATTTCAGTACTTTTTACAACCCCCTAGTTGCTGCTACTGATTAAGATTTTTCATTTTCATGTAGTTTTCCAGGTAAGAGTTGCAAGATTTTAGATGCCCAAAACAGAATGTTTACTTTGCGCAAGAGAAGTCAACTGGGCTTACAGTAGTGCAGTAGAAAATTTAGGTCCTTTCTGCTATGATTATTTCTATTCTTAGTGAGAATTGAGGAGGAAAAAAAGACAAGTAGTTAAAGGAGGACTGTTCTTTGGAAACTAATCCTTTTAAAAAAAAGGAGTTGGGATTTTAGCATTGTTTCCTAAGCCACAAAGAGCTCTGGGTGGGTAAAGTAGGTATGTATGCATTCCTGGAGAATTGAGAGAGGAAATGCAAAGACTTTCAAATGGAAACAGAGTTAGAGTCCTTCTCCATTAGTATTTGAATATAAAATGATTATTCCAGATCACTAAAAATAATTGTTTTGACTACTCATTGCATCAAAGCTGTAACAAAAGTTAAAAATCACACTTCAAACTGATTTTTGCTATCCTGCAGAAATGTGTTACACCCTTCGAAGAGAAACTCAAGAGAATCCTTGTGGAGACCAGAAAGGTTTTGTAATGCTTCAGGTATGTCATAAAAACATACAAGTGTTACCTTAGTAGTTATTTTTATTTATTTTTAGCAAAATCATGGTAGATGTAGTGAACAAACAGTGCTCTAATCCATCTTTTATTCTTTTCTAGGATAATGTTATATACTTTTTGGATTGTCAATAACTTTTATAATAGACTCATATCAATTAATTACTAATTCTGAGGACTCCATCATGGAATTGGTTATTGTAGTTTTCCTCAAATTGTTGCACTGATCAGTGGAAAATCAAGCACAGATATAAAAGTATATTTCAAAATATTTTATTAATTTGCTTTATTTTCTTCTCTTCTCCTCCTTCTTCTTTTTGGTCGTGACTCAAGTAATATTTTATGGCATCTTTTTATTTTAAGGACATGGCATAATTTGGGGCCTTAGGTGAAGAAGGAAAAAAAGAACTTGGGGAAAAAGATCGTGGTGTAGTGGGAAGAATACAGGTTAGGAGCCAGACAGACAGGTGTGGAACTCAGCTCTGCCATTTAGTAACTTTGGGTAACTTAACTCTGTTGATCGTTGGTTTGCTCATCCTGGAGAGCACACTGGTTATGTCTAACTAAAAGGGTAGTGAGGGAATTAAACATGCTAGGCTATGTGAAGTGCCTAGTGTAATCACTGGTCGGTCAATGCCATTGACTGCCAGGAGAGCCTCAATAAATGCTAATTATATTATTTTTTTTATCATAATACTTATTTTTATTAAATATTTACTCAGAAACTGAACAAAACTTTGTTTGATCATGCCAAAAAGACACTCAATCTAAAATGCGTATAAAATATATAATGTATTCTAAATGTATGATGGTTCATACGCTATATAGACATTTATTTCTCACTCATGTAAGCAAAAAATAGGTTTTCCTGTTGATAGGCTAGGTTACTTAGGGGTCCGGGTGCCTTTCATCTCTTGGGCTCCTCCATCCTCAAGATATGCCTTCTGAGGATGTCATGCTCATTTATATAAATCCAGGATAGTGAAAAAAACATGGAAGAAGGTACTTGAAAGATTACCCTGGGCCTTATCTGGAAGGGCAGTCCACCAAACACATTTCACCAGCTAGAACTCCATCAACATGGTTACATCTAACTGCAAGGTGAGATCAGGAATGGAGTCCAAGTGCATGCTCAAAAAGAAAGTGAGATGTATTTGAGGAACAGTCAACCATCTCTGCCACATCAAGATGTTAACAATAAAAAGTTAACATGAACAAAATATAACAAATTATATTATAAATAATTGAACACCTTGAAATACTATTATATATGTAATTTTATAGCATAATTTTGTATTATACAATTGGGCTAGCAGAAGAAGAGATGAATGTATCTTTAAAATAATTAAATATTAATGGAGTATTTGAGGAGGTTTGTAGAAGGGGAGTGCAGATAAGATGGGTAGATTAGATGGGAAGATGCCGCTGCAATCTGGAGAGTAGCTGGATTATTCAAGTGTTGTGATATCCATCCAGAAGTGACCCCTAGAGCTGTGTGCCTGGACAAGTGAAAATTCACTTGCAGTGTTAGAAATTTTCTTGTCCATAGGACTGCTTTTGGTATTTGCTTCAAGCCCCAGAGGGTAAGCATAAAGGTGACACAGGGCCTAAAAACATAAATTTCTGGAGAGGAGTTTAAAAAAATTCAGAGTTGGGTTCTTTGGGAGAAACCAGTGCAATAGCTCTTATTGATTTGTAGGTTGAGGGAAGGAACTCAGTTCAGTCTGGACTTCTTCATATTCCCAACACTGATTAGAACCTACTAAGAAAATTTATTCAACATGAAAATTTTTAAATGACCAAATTTCCTATTCAGGTTACTTTTTGTAATGGAAAGAACAAAGAAATGAGGAGAGACTAAAATAGTGTTTTACAGACTGGAGAGGCAAAGGCCTAACAGGTTATATGGTTGAAGCTCATGCAGTGATTTAGAGTGAATATAGACTGCACACTGAATCCAAACATGTGAGAAACAGGTGGAAACTCTTAAAGCTTGAACCAGATAAGTTTAAGACTGATAAAAGTAAAACCTGTACACCTTCTTTCCTGATTGTAGTTTGACCAGCTTATTTTGAGAAGGTGCCCAAGTTTTTGGACATAGTGGTATGTTCCCATTTTCTACTTGTATATGAATGTCTCTGTTTTATGCTCAGAGAACAAACAGAATTGTGATTTGTATTTTCCAATTAGCATAGATGATTTAATATACTTGGACAGTTAGATTGATTTCTTTGGGAATTTAGGGGCACACCAGCCTGTTGACGTACTCTTCCACACTATGCTGTCATTTGGAGAGGTGCTGCACCCTACATAAAATATACTTCCAATAGCTGCTGACTTCCAGAGCTAATCCTTTTTAAGTTCCTACTCTGTCCTTCTGATTATGTCAAGAAGAAGATCTCAGTTTGGTGTTCATCTGTCTTTAATACCTAACACTTGCTAACTTCCCTTTTAACAGAGAATAGGAGTTCAGTAAACAACTGAATCTATGATGAACCTGGGGTGGGTTTGACAAGCTTTAAAGGGAGAACAGGAGTCAGTTGAACTCATGTTAGAGAATTTGAAATCCACAAATCCAAGATGTTTCTGTGTTAGTTTACTCAAAAGGTAGTGGTTACATGGAAATTTTTTATCATGAAAACCTAAAATATAGGCTTCCAGAAAGGTTAATCTAAATTCACACATGTCAGAAAAATATCAAGAAGTCTCCGGGTATATCCCTAACCTTTTGAGTTTCACATGATAGAAGACCACTATCACATGACATGCCCCTGTATGCTCCTAGAAGAGACAGAATATTGGATGGACCATGGTTCAGACCCACTAGACTAATTCTTGTGCTTTTAAGTAAAATCCTCTGTTTCTTTGAAAAGACCTCTTTTAAATTGCAGATGAAGCTGGTCTGGGGAAAGGTGTCCCTAAAGAGAAAGTAGCGTAAGTGCCCATGTTAGTACTATCTTACTGTGTGCACAGGATAAATCTAATGCAGATTGAACTAATCTAAAGTTCAACATCTGTTTCATTCAAAGTGGAACATTTGAAATTCAATGCAAAGGAGGACTTTCAAGCCTGGCTTTTATTCTGAACAACTAATTGCAGTAGTCAGTTTTCAGTTTTTGAGTCCATAAAGCCCCTTAGCTAGTCTCAATAAAAGTCCCATAAAGTAGCATTAAAATTTGATGAATGTTTTATAGGTTTCATTCCGTTTTAAAAAAAAGAACCATTGTATATAATTTTATAAATTTTTGAATTTAGCAATATTGAATATCAGTAATATTAAATACTATGGTTAAGAGCCTATATTCTGGAGCTTGGACAGACAAATTTCACATTTGCTACTTCGTGACACTGGGCAAGTTATTTAACCTTTCTAAGTTCCAAATTCTTTTTTCTTCCTATAAAATAGGGATATAAATAATATTTATCACACAGGTAGCATTAATGAACTAATGCTTATCAGACACATTAAACAAAATAATTTAAGTAAACTCTTAACATAATATGCAAAAAGTAAGGGGTCAAACATATTAATTATAATTAATGATCATCATAGTAGCAGTTTTATTCAGCACTGATCTTTTGATTTAATAGCTTTGTTTATAGAACACACTCAGGTTAAATGCATGTTTAAAAATTGTCTCTTGATGTTTTACAAACATGCAGAGGTTTGGCACAATGAAAATAAGAGTAAAGAAGTAAAATAATTTTTTTTTCTGGAAATTTTGATTTTTCAACACCCACAACAATGACATTTTAAAGTATGTCCATCATAGTCATTTACTCACACTTTCTCTAACACCCTTTTTACCTCTGCCCTAGGCTGTGCTCCCCTAAGATGATAGAATATTTAGAACTGGAGGGCAGGAGCTGAGGACTCATCTCTGGGACATCCCCACTGACTCCACCACTCTTTGTAGGGAGAAAACTAAAGCCCAGAGGGGGATCATTGGTTTGCACAAGTTCAACTGAGTCTGAATTTAAACTCTACTTCTCACACTCATTCCATTGCATCATACTAGTCCTCAAAACTGAGAGGGCTCAGTATTTTTAATAATCCCTATGGCCCATTTAAGAAAGGAAAATGACCTTGAAGAAAAATGTCATAAACAATAAAGATATAAGAGAATATTATGGCTTTTTGGACTCAGTTAAATTTTGTAAGCAGTGCTCCTAAGGTCATATCCAGAAGATATTATATGTAAATTATAATGTTATTATTTATATCAATTATTATTAATATAAAATTAATAGAATACTCGTATTATTAATATTGATATTTATATTAATTATGACATTTTAACATTAATTTATCTGTATATATTGTTTTCTCTCTAGGTAAAGAATTACTGTAGTGTTACCAAAGAGCATACCATTTTTATGAAATTTCTGAATAGTATTTAGTTGGGGAAAAAAAAAATTCCCAAGATGGCATACTAAACCTTAAAGAAATAGCCAGCTCAGACCCCAAATTGTGTGGAAAAAGTCTTGTTCTGTAATTCTATGATGCTGGGATTAGGCAAGCAGCTGATGGCTTGATCAGTCAGGGGGTGACCTGAAAACTGCTGACTTCCTGGATATGAGCCAAAGGTTGCCCTTGGGGTTGAGATAAGCCAGTTAATCTCCTGACTGAAACAACTAGTCTAGACATTGAATTGCTCTTGCTCAGTACTTGTCAGGGATACTGTGGATTGACTACATTCTAATTTTGCCCACTGTATTCCTGGAATTGCAAGGGTGTCCTGGGCAAGAGTATGGTATGGTTGCTGTAACTTGACTAATTCAGCTGCCAAGAGAAAGTTATATAAGGTAGAGTGTTGGGTTTACATAATTTTTTTTAGATCAGTTCCCAGTCACTAATGGAGAGAAAACAGCTGTATAATAGGTCTAGCTTGTTTTATTCATGTGTAAGGATGTAATAAGGAATCTGTAAGCTGGTATTAGCTGTGCTTCTGATCCTCTGAGAGGTTCTTCTGGCTGTGAGAATCC